CACCACTAAGCTACATCCTTAGTGCTTTGTAAAAATCTTCCTTTGAGACAGGGTCTGGCTGTATTTGCTTAGGTTTTCCAGAACTCATGAAGTTCCAGCCTCAGCCTCCCTTGCAGCTGGGATCAGAGGTGTGCACTACTATAGCATTGCCCAGGATATTTAAAAGAACAGATATATGACAGACTTATTTTATTTTTTAAAATTTAGGTGAGTCTCCTTCTTAGAAGAAGCCAGAGAACCCTTGCTTTCTCTGCCGATTCTTAAAGTCTTCATTTTGGTGCTTCCTCCAGTGTAGACTCTGCCTGTTTTATGTTTTCCAGGGTGGAGTTAACACCATGAACCATGGGATCTAGGACTATGATCAAGACCATGTCTGAATGTACCTTGTGATGGAGAAGGGAGACACTGTTTTCTTTTACCTTTTGCTCATACATGGATCAAGTCAGAACCAAAGTCAAGGATTCTGGAAAGTATGCATCTAGTTTTTAAAGATGAGTGGGTTCAAAACAGAAAATCATAGGTATAGTAACATGTAAAGATTCATGACTTTTCACTAAACTGGATTGTTTTTCCCAGTTTACTTGCCAGAACATATATTTGCCTTCCTTGTACTTTTTTTGCTCTACTCAGAGCGAAGCCAGGTGCCCTCAGGATCCTAAACCTGTTAATCATGAATCTTGGTCATGTGGAATTGCTTCAGAGCAGTAGGTCACCTTGCAATGCATAGCTTCTGCTTCCTGAGGCAAAAACAGTTGCTGAACTATTAAAATAGCATGTTAACTTTGCTATTTTTTCCATATTTTCAATGACTATAATGTTATGGAAGATTATTTACAATTATTTCATAACAACATGGATCATAACTGCCTTTTTTAAAATTTGAACCTTGATATGGCTCTGCCTGGCACTGGAGCCTGTGCAGGAAATGGAGTTTAACTCACTTGAAACTAATGTTTGAAATATGATATGTCAAGAGCTTTGTAAGGTTTTGAACAACCAATAAAAAAAAAACATAAAAAAATAAATTTTGAGCACATAGAAAATCGTTCTGACAGGTATGTTCACCTTAAGATAATTAATTTGTGATAAGAAGGTGGGTTTTAGCTATTGTGTGTCAGCTTACATTTGTTTAGACCTTTTTCTGGAACAGGGAGTACTAAGTCTTATCCTCAGCCTTATCCTCAGCAGGAAACAAGCTGGGTAATAATGTCAACGTATTGACCTCTAAATTTTCCTCTTTATTGACAGGTGTGCTATTTTTCTTTTGAAGATAATTTCAGTTTTCATATCTGTCGCGACCCCCCTTGCCCGCAAGGAAGACGCGACTCAGGAATCTTCTTTCAGCAGTTTATTCAGGCCCTTGATATTCTTCTAATAATTCTTCTACTACTACCTCGGATGCCCCTCCCAGCCTTAATAAAGCACCG